CCCCAAAACCCCAAAACCCCAAAACCCCTATGACTCAATTTGTATGATTCTAGCTCTAAAGAAGTTTAAAATTACACAAAATTTATTTAAAAGCACTTTATAATTATAAATCTTAGTAGTTTAAATTGTAAATGGTAGAGAAAGGTATGGCTTAGCTCACATTGAGTTCACAAGACTCAACCCATTCAAACGGAGGATCAGACTATCCTACTCTTTCATAGTAGAGTTCTACCAACTCAAGTTCAGCAAAGAAAAGATCAATAGAAGAGTTCACATTTATGAAGGAGATTGGATAAGGCGCATATGGAACAGTTTTTTTAGGCAAGGATAAAATGACTGATAAAATGGTTGCTATAAAGAGTGTTAACTAGAAACGAATTTTAGAATTGGACAAAACTCGTAGTGTCTTTAGAGAGAAACAATTATTGACGGAGCTACAGCATCCAAACATTGTAAAACTTGTTACTACACTTAAGGTATGAAATATATAAATTGTCAAAGATAAATCAATTTATTGTCATAATTGCTAAACAAATCTATTTGTATAGGATGAAGAGAATTTGTACTTCATTTTTGAGCATTGCCCAAATGGCACTCTATTTGACTTGATATCGAAAAAATGTACTGAAATTGTTATTTAATTTTATATAGAGAAACTTGATGAAAGATTGGTTAAATATTACACAGCTTAGTTGATCTCAGTCCTTGATCTTCTCTAAAAGAATAACGTAATGCATAGAGATCTTAAACCTTAAAATGTGCTAATAGACGAAAACTTTAATCTAAAGGTGGTATGCAATTCAAATTCTATAAAAAAATTCAATTTAGATTGATTTCGGTGATGCCAAGAAATTCGGAGAAATTGATGAAGAACCAGTTTAAAGGAAACCTAATGAAGAAATATAAGAGTTTATGGATCCGAGTCAGCTTGAACCTGATTTTGACAGAAGAGGAACTTTTGTTGGTACCCTAAACTACGTTGCCCCAGAAATGGTTTAAAGAAACGAGTCCTGTTTATCCACTGATTTATGGTCTATGGGATGCATCTTGTATAAAATGCTTACAGGAAATGTACCGTTTACTGGCACAGTCAACTATGTAGTATTTCAAAAAATCTTAGCGAAGGATATAGAATATCCATAGTATTTATCAGTAAATGCCCTTGAGCTAATAGATAGCATGCTGATGTTAAAACCTGATGAGAGACTCGGATCACCTGGCACAAAAAACAATATGTAAAGCATGATGAATCATCCATACTTCTCTGGATTAGATTTTACTGATCCTAAAAAACTATCTTTAGATACATCTCTTATCCAATATATCGATGAGAAGTATCAATCTCCTAGTAAAATGGATCATAGGCTACTACCTAGAAAATCAGCATTTTTGACAGGTGAATTTAGCCAACAAGATATCGTTTGCAGAGGATTTTTGCTTAAGAAAAATAGATGGTTTAACAAGCAACTAAGATTCTTTTAGCTATAAAAGAATGGAGAACTCAAGTACTTCAAGGATTTCAAATATAAGGGCAAAATCACTTTGAGTAGAGATAATAAGATCCTAAAGGCAAGTAGAAATTCCTTTGAAATTCCTCACATTGAAAAGACATACGTCCTCATTGAAGTAGAGAAAAAAGACTTGAAAGAGACGAAGAGAGATTTAAGTTAAGTAGATGAAGACGAGTTATTCACAAACGACATTAATAAATGGATTGAAGCTTTGTAATTTGTTATTCAAAATCTTTGAATCTGATATCCGTCAATTGCTTAAGATGACCAAATATTTTATCGACAACAGTCTTCTAAACAAAGTTATTAGTAATTATTGTTCCTATTTAACTTACTATAAACAGAATTCTTACTCATGGGGTTTTGGGGTTTTGGGGTTTTGGGG